TGAGTTGTTGAGCTACTAGCCAGGTGCAACGCTTCTTAAAATACAGTGCATTCATTTTTCTTTCAGTAATCTATAGGGAAATAATTACTATAAAAATCTTTTTTATCCCTATTGTGTACCCAAACATATGAATTTCATGCCAACATTGCTACCCTACAGGATATCAAATACATTAGGGAATAAAGGTGATAGGATCTCTCAAAATTATTACTTTCTGTAACTTAAAGTGATGGAATATAAGCTACACTTTGCATTTGAAATAAATTATTTATACCATTAAAGTTGTTAATACATTCCATTACTGCAAAACAAATATGACATTTCTGGGGCCTTATTCTCCAGATTCTCATACCTGTCCAGTGATCAATGCGTGCAGAAGAAAAATGCATACAAAATACTGTCAAATTAGAACGACAGCAATTTAAAACAACTTTGCATAGGTGTAAATTACTTTGAAAGAGGCAATGACAAATCAGGCCCTCTGGGCTGCGTGCTTTCAACAACCAGCTTACAAAGCTGTGTATTTTCCTGCCTTTGCAAATACATGCATCACCACGCTGACAGTTCTAATTTCTGAGAGACATTCTTTCAAAACGGACTTTTAGCAGCCATCTCAGCTGCCCTGTTCTGGCTATGCAGACGTACAAAAGACTTAAAACTGGGTCACTATTTCTTTATTATTCCCACGGTAATTCTACTAATCTATCTTAACAAATGGGCATAGTGATTATTTTGATCTTTTCACGAGTTGTAGGAGGAGGAAAAGGAAACATATGAACCAACTGAAAGCCTGTCTATCAAGTGTCAGCCTGGCGATAATTATTACTGGGAGCCCAAAATATCCCAAACCAGGACTGAGGAGAGAAACAAGAACAAGACCTTTAAGTACCCCTCAGTTAGAAAATTAACACAAAATAATGACATTTTATGGCAGTTAGAAGTTAATGTCATTGAAAAGAGTAGGCCAGTGGAAAGCAGAACGGTGTGTAAAGCGTGCAGTTCTGCAAAACCCACTTCCATTCGTTCAGCCACCATCTAGGTGCTTATGATGTTCCCAGTCTAATAAACGGAGCTATTTATGCAACTTGCCTCTCCTCAGCTCAGCATTACAGTTCATTTATGCATCGTTGTTACCTGGGCTGGAGCACTGGATGAAAGATGAGTCAACTCTCCGATTCGGGCAGCAGCTCGTGGGTCGCTCGAGCTGATCAAAACGGGAGCGCTAATCTCCATGGAGTGCCTGTTACTCATGGCCTGGGAGGATTTGTGTGTCATACTGAGAGCAGTGAAGGAGTGGCGTTTCTTGGCATTCTTCTTGCCCTCAATGTGCCTCTGGATGGCACTGACTGCTCCTGTACTGTTTAAGGTAGAGCACTGCGCCAAAGTGACTGCCAGGGCGGTGTCAGATGGCAAGGGGACATCACAGCCAGATGCAGCAGCTAAGCATGTCTTGTCCATCTCAATAAGCTGTTTAGCTGATTCGTTGAGCTGAGTGCAGAGAAAAAAAAAAAGAAAAAAAAAAGAAAAAAAAAGGAAAGAAAAAAAAGGGGGGAACATTAACAACCTGTCACAGCTTGATGATGGTGCCTGCTGGACCTGCCTTGGGAAAAGCACCCTCTGAGAAAAAGCCTCCCTTGGAAAAGCCCCACGCTCCTTTCTTAGAGGTGGTTTGTGATTTCTTCTTGTCAACACCTCTCCCAGGTCAGACATCAGTCTGCTGATGTCTGCTCCAGTTCGTACCACAGAGCAAACCATTGCTCTTGGGCAACATTTATTCCACTGCCACCACGAGGGAGCTGTGGGCACATACAGGAGTAGGTGGCAGCATCGCAGGCTTTATCAGTGTCACACTGTCTACACCTTGCCAGCATCCCCATTAATTCCTCACTATTCACAGGTTTGTCGCCATAAGCATATTCTTGAAGTTTGCCGCACAGGCTTTTGAGCCAGGTTCTAAAACTTTCTGATTTTATCTCCCTGCCTTCCACCTGTCATAGGTTATCTTAGTGCAAAAATAAAACCAAGGCATTTTTCCAGCTATATTGCTTCTGCTCGAGAGGGTCACGACTGCCCCTGGGGGACTCGCTCAGCTTCTAATTCAAAAAAATTGTTTTCACGGGGGCTACTGAAAGGTTGAAAGCTTGGCCCTCAGTCCACCTAGAAAGCACAGCTTTCAGATAACGCCATGGTACCAAGGTCAGTTCTCAGTCCACTGCTCTTTATTCAGTCAAACCTCACAGAAAAATCTCAGCACAAAAATGCAGAAGGTATAGTGTGTAGGATAACTTGTCTCTAAAGTATCTTGCCTCCTGGCTACAATAACTTGTCTGGGAAAGCTACATCTTAAAAAAAATGATGATTTTGGGGCCCAAAGGGGTGCTACAGTCTCTGACATATGAAATACACCCTGAAGTTAGCAGCGTTTTCTGCAGATTGCTCTTTGCCAATAGATCTTTCCTCAAGGGGTGCTAACAGCTGAGAGAAAATGCCACATTTTGCCAACAGACCTTTATATTAAAGTAGGATGCAACACAATATGTCTGCATTTAATGACTAAAAACAACATATGAAAAAAGAACCATTTCTAACACATTACATGCTTTTGCATACACTACCATTCTAAGGCCCACCTAAACCAGAGGTACATAAAACACTAATCTGCAACCCCCAAAAGACTATTTTTATTACTATATTCACTGTATTAAAAAAAAGAAGCGTTGCTGCTCCAAGCAAAATCAATTGTCAATTTAGAAACCAAATACAACATAAAATAAAGGGTGAAAAAGAGAGGAAAGGGAAAGGGAAATTATAACAATAGTAGAAGTGTGAAGTTAAACAAATGTGCAATTGAGTAGCTTTATGGCTTCAGATCACTGCCATCATGCCACAAATATAAATAAGAGATAGATATTGTCAGCCTTATGCCAGTCTTCCTAAATTTGCAAATACTTTGGTCTCCACAAGGCTTCACTCCTGAACCCTTGAAAAGGCAATAAACTTGCTAGCACCTAGAAGGTAAGCACAGGCTTGCAGGATGCTTCACTCACTGAGAGCCTCCACCAAGTCCGCCGAGAGCCTCCCACTGCCAAAGCTCTACCATGAGCTCCCGTTCAATTTGCAGGACATTTCCCCAGCTGCCCTGTCCTAGAGGAGCCCCTGCCTGCAGCAACATAGTGCTCTGCACCTGCTGGTCTCTGCCAGTAACAGCTGATCCCACTTCAGACACTTCAGGAATGTCCATTACTTACCACTTCATCAGGCTTTAAATTGGTTCAACCTCATATTTGCCAGAAGGTCCCAAGTTCCAAGGAAATCAGATAGTTCCCTTCCCCTAAGTAGGTGTTACAGCTCTGCTTACCCAATTCACGAGGACGGTCTAGCTGAATTATTTGAAATGTTAAGGAGAAAAGGAAAAGCAGAATCATGGATCAAATATGCATGATTCTTTTCTAGAGGGATGGTGAGGAGTCTCTAGTAATTGCTATTAATCAGGGCAACAATGTTTTTAACTCTGTTACATAACAATATATAAAAGATCAAAACAAGAATTTCTGAGCTTCCTGATTTTACAGCAATGCTTCACATAGACAGAGAAGTGCTTCAGCTCCTAATATCAAAATGATTATTTTTTTCATAAGAATTAGATTATAAACCCTTCTGGCTGGAGTCCAATTTACCACTGAATCTATTCCTCTTAAAATAACATTTACTTTTTTTCTTCAAAGCAAAACCAAGTTAAAAAGGTCAGTAAGACAGCTAGCATCTAACATAGAGTGAAAAAAAAATAGTTGTGTATTGATGTAAACAAAATCATTTTCAAGAGCAGTAGAAGATTTGAAGCAAAAAGAAAATCACTTCCAAAAACAGACAAGTTAATGAACTTCTGGGACACTTCTAGGAATAAAAGTGTTTTGGTCTGGCAAGATAAAAAAAAAATGCTTTGTAGCTTTACCACTTTATTGTTGTTCTGATGCTTGGTTTTGAGCAACTTTGCCCATGGATGCCGGAAAGTACTTCCCAAATAAGGTATGAATGCCATCAAAAAGGTTCTGCTTTCTACCTAGCAAAAGCAAATAGCGCTGTCTTTTCATAAAGAGTTTTCAGGAGTTCTTTTTGAATGTAATTTTGAAACAGATTGCATTTTTTTTTTATTCTAAACTCTCAACATGTAAACAAAGCACTGTTTTCTGGTGTCTGTCTTCAGATCTTCATCTAGATTTTGTTCTAGAAGAAAAGCTTAATGTAAAGGTCTGACCCGCAGGTAGCTGCAGGAATTGGACATTTCTGAAAGACTGTACCTCCCAGAACGGCACCTAATACCAGAGTTCAGCTTTCTTGCTCATTTCTGATCCTTCAGATCAGAAAGAACTGGGGTTTGAAATTCTGGTCTTGCTACTCTAAAATAGTTAAATATCCCTGCAGTTGCAATGGGACTGATTTTAGCCCAGATCTACTCTATAATAATGAGAAGCCCTAGGAAAGTCAGCAAACAGTGCAGAGGGATACAGCCTGGGATACAGTATGCTAGGCCAGTCAGACAATCCCAGCAGTCCTGCAATCTTGAGTCTGGGAATGCAAAACCCTGCAAGGCTAAGCCCTAAATTAGGTGAGGGATAGTGCTGGATAAGGGATGTGATGAAACACTAAAGTAAAACTGTTCACACAGTCTCAGTGAATACTGAACGTGGGCACTGCATGCTAAGATAAGGATGTACCAACCTCAGTTTATAGAGTTACTGAGCCTGTTTCTTATGCAGGTATTCCTCAGCTCTCAGGAACTTGTGCTTTAGATAGCTTCAGTCCATCTAATTTTGAGTGTGAATGAGGATTTGGAATACGCCTTTGTACTGAGCCTTGTTCACCTCCAAACAACCTTTTCCCTCAAAGGGAGCAGTAATCAAGCTCCGTTCATTAAAAATTTGCTGACCTTGATCCAAGAGCCACACTGCTCTCTCAGCCACAATACAAGCTGTCATGAGTTTGGCTACCAGCCAGACAGTCCATACAATATGAACTAAGTGAGATTTTTTTCTTCTTCTTCTTCTGGCTTTTAGATACGACTCTTTTAGATGGTCTGTTTGAGACTTTCCCATATGGGAAACAAAGGTACAAGCAGTAAGCTACCTCACTCAGGACTTCTCCACTGCCAGAATTACTGTTTTATTAGTCTCCAGATAAGCTGTACTCTTCTGCAGAACACATTATGGTGATTTTCTTCCTCCCTCTCTTTCACACATCTTCACACAAATACCCCCATGTCCCCATCACCCACAAATTTATGATATACATGTGCTTAAAAGGGACTAGTTGGCAACAGTTTGAAGAGATTTTTCAGTTAAGGATGAGCAGATATATGAGAGAGATCGTCACCTGCACTTTCTATCCTAGCATGGCCCTAGATATTCCTGTATGTCCCCAAGTAATTTAATGAACTATAACATCAATGTGCAACATTGTGCCCCTACCTACACACACAAGCCAGGATGAAGAATGAGGTCTCCACTGTGGACGGGGTGGGTTCATACTTCTAGTTTTAGATCAAATAGCATTTTTTTTATTCCACAGAATAAGGGAGAAGCAGGGAAGTTTTGGGTCAAAATTAAACAATTAAACTTTGCTGCTCTAGTCTGTAAGAAAGAGCAGTGTTTAAGGTAACTTTTTTCTTAATGCTCTTGAACCAGAAGAGATCACAAAATATGCTCAGTTACAGCAGCAAAAATGTGACAATACCAGCACAACTTATTTTCTTTGGGAAACCAAAACACATCCGTAACGGCAAACCCACTATTTTACTAATAGAAACTGCATTTCCCCTAACAAATGTGCCTAAAAAATGTGTTTATACCAATCAGCAATACTGCCATTATTCTATGTAGTTTAGACCTCCAAGAGACACAGCAGCTCCTGGAACAGTTTACTAATAGCACTGCCTTCTGTAAAACAGAAGACATTAAGTCTTTTATTGCTACAGAATACTTTTACCTTTCTAGTCTTTTATGTGTGCGTAATAGATTCGCTTTTGACTGACATCTACCTACTAGAGATGAACTCTCATTTGGTTTCTGATTTAGCAAGATGCTTCAGTACATACTTAGTACAATGCACAGACCAAAGTGGCACAAATGGGATGAAAAAGCCATTCTTTGAGAATGAGGAAGGATTGCTTAAATTCTCCAAGAGGCTTAAGCAACTTTGTTAATCTGAAGCCAGTTTGAACCAGAAAGTACAGTTTATTAAGGCTTTCAGGAAGCAGAGCTTCATTTGGTCTGTAAGTTTTTTTTCTGTCTCTATAGGAAGAAACATCTAGTGGTGGGGCAGCTGAAATACAGGTGTAAACTCAGATGTTACTTCAGGCCCCTTTGAAAAGAAAAAGGTTGAAAATTTCCACAAAACTATGTATATCTAGTTAAAAAGGATAAAAGGGTCAGAAAAAAAATCTTGTTCAAGGTCCTAGAGAGGCATAACTAAGCAGAGTAAAAAAAAAAACC